GCATTGGATTACTACGCGTAGGATTACCACGTGTTGCATTACTACACGTTGCATTACTACGCGTTGGATTACCTCGCGTTGGATAACTACGCGTTATCCGAAGCTGCCGTTCTCGCGTCTGCGCACGCGTAATCCTCGCACTCTGATTGGTCCGTGTTTTTCCTTACTGATTCAAAAATGAAGCTTCAAACCCCATTTTTGCAAAGGGAAATCATATTCAGAATCGCGTCAGCTACATTTCAGGGACCTACACTAATTGTGAGACACCCTGTATTTTTTAATAAAATTAGGAATTATAAGTATTTATAAATACTTGCACTTTAGAACAAGTTATTCGCATTGTTCTATGATGCAATGTAAAATTACTTGTTTATTCGTTCAAACTTAAATAAACTATGTTCCAAATATGGAGCACTTTTCTTTGAAGAGATATACAAGGTGGAAAAAAATACTAGAATATCTTTATTTATCGACATACACATAATTTTCATAAGTTATACACTATTGTAAGTGACACTAAGAACCATGACTTTCGATATCCCAAAACGAAACCATATTTTGTGTCATGACAATAAAGATAGAAACACATAAATATCTAAAATCACATAATATTTCACGAAATCATTTATAATTTTTATGTGTCATTTTTAATCGTTTCATTTAAATTCACACTTCACATTAACACTTTATTATCGTATTACGTCGATTATCTTGTGAGTACAGGTGTTCAAAATGATTGCAATCAGTACTGATTATACATTGAGCAATCAGTATCATTTGCTGCTGTTTTTGCATTTGTCCAAAGTATTTATCTATAAGTATATTTTTTTGAAACACCCTGTATTGACATTCTTTCTTCAAGGTGATGGTATATTTCATATGATGATATTACTGTGTTTCTATCTTAAATATCATGATTTACTGTTTCGTGAATTTGTACTTTTACATGACAAAATCTCAGTGGCGCACCCAGAGATCTAGGGACTCTGACATCCTCGAACGAAGGAAAAAATATGAAAATTTTTCACAGAAAAATTTATTATGAAACATTTATTAAAATCTCTCATTTGTTATATACTATATCATGCACTCGTTGTACAAAATAAAAATAAGTACTATTAACTATTAAAAAATAAGTACTAATTGAAAAATTGTTTAAAATAAAATACTTTCGTCAAGCAAATTTTTATAATCATCTACTAAAGTATCAAACATGTTTCTATTCAGTTTGCATTAAAACTGTCTGTATTCAACTACCATTAGAAATATTTCTATTCATCCACCTTGTGTTAAAAATATGTTTATTTATTCAATTTACGTTAAAAATACTTTCATTCAATTCATATAAAAGATATTTTTATTCGTTCAATTCGGCTCCCTGCAAGATTAAGTCTCAAGAGCGTATTCATTCAATTTGTATTAAGAATGTTTTTATTCATTCAACTTGTATTAAAAATGTTTTTATTCAATTTGTATAAAAGATATTCTTATTCTACCTTCACGATTGAATCTTGAGTGCGCCACTGTTCAATGAAATAATTGAAAACGTGAATTAGGGACCCTCTAATCTGAATCACGAAGTGGCTGTATCGATTTCATGTGCCGCCATTTTTCGGCAGAACCTGTGGCGCGAAATTTGAAACTAATAGTGTACTTTTGCTGAAAGATACAAGTTTTGCATATAATAAAATATATTATTTGGATTTATGATAATGGAACATTTTTCACTGTATTTTTATAGATGGAATACATATTTCAACGGTATAAAAAATAATGTATACGTGTACATTAAAAAATAGTGGACTTACAAATGATAGACGTGTATAACATTACACATTAATTAGAAAAAAATTTGTTTTTTTAAATAAGTATATTAAGCACGATTTTGTACCTATTTTTGGTGACTTAAAATAAAGTTCAGTGACCTAATAATAAAGATTTTTTAACAATTTGCTGTTTTGCAATGTAAGATTAAAAAATACAGAAAACAAAATATTTTGACAACAAAAGAATTGAATAAAAATTTTATTTATGAAACTTGTAACTTTTAGTTGAAGTACGCAAATGAAATATTAAATTTTGTCCAAAGGATTTTGCCGAAAAATAATGAACCTCGAGAATTGGGTTTAGGGGGTCTCGTGACTCACAAAAGTAATCGACGTCATGCGTGTACGTTGTTAGAATAAAAAAGCTTGATTATAACGTACATAACAGTGTTAACTAGGATTTCTCTCTGAAAATCGAACGCAAAGGCTCGATTGCCATGTAACATTATTATATTGCAGGGAAGAGGAGCTCGCCACTAACTCTAGCAAGGAGACCGTCCTATCTGACGCCACCACTGCCAACCATACCCACGCTACTGACAAACCATAAGAATAATAATAATAAAAAAGAACTATATCGAGAACGTCATTCACTCCAAATAAAAATTATTATAGATTCAATCGATCTAATCGAATAATTGTTATCGGCAACGATTTTTAGCATACTCGTAGCACACAAACTGCTATAAAACAAGAGATGTCATTGTATCACTGACTACACACACGTTTCTTGATTTTTCCATTTCTTTTGGAATCGATCATTCCCTAATATACGATATTATATTAACGAACGAATATTTCGGCATCACCGATAAGATACGTACATACATATATATACATATATATATATATATTCTATGTTGTAAAATAAATCTGTTTGTTTATTTAATTACCGGTTTCAGTTCTCTTCCACTCGTACATGTGACCTCGACGTGGAGCATATACATATTTTTTTTTCATCGTTGGTCAAGCTTTTTGACCCAATTTTCGTTTACCTTGCAGGAGAGTTAAGAATATTCGCGCTGGGGATCGAATAGTCTCCGGCTACTTTTTCTATTATATTTTTTCTACGATTTAACACACGAGTCCCCGTGGACTTTTTCTCTCTTTAAAAAACGTCTGAAGATCGAAACGAACATGTCTAGAGTCTACTACACAGGCCAGTGAATCACTGTAAACCAAGGCTAGAAACTGTGAAATGAATTATGCTCATTTCGTCGGATGTGAACGAGAATAGGCAACTAAATGTGACATTGAAATTCGACTAATGGTAGCTTTGCGAAAGGGCGTGATGATAACGTACCACAGAACAATGATAGAAATAATTAATCGTGGCAGTTAAATAACGAACATTGAAATTTTCGAATTCAAATTCAGGTCAATTAGGATAAAATAAAGTAAAAAAAAGTATACACCGGATATATGCGTTGCGTTACGTTGACGAGTTGTATTGATAAAGACCCGCGGTTTTCTCATGGTTACGAGCAACGTCGGTGCATGTTGAATCGATGCCCTCGACGAAGATCTGGAATGTAATAAAGAGAAGGAAAGATTCAATAGACATGTATGAAGAAGCGGAAACTTGGACAAGTCGCGTGATGTTTTGCAGGAGCATGCTAAACTGTGTGAATGCATTAGAGGGACACATTCCGCCAGCAGAGAGTGCAGCCCTGATGGTGGCCGAGGAGAAGCCACATCCTGATTCATGTAAGGCTTAAAAACCTGACCAAAAATCATCTGACCACGATATCATCTGTCGACATAGCGATTTTCTGTCTTTTCATGACAAACAATTCTTTCTGTCCTCACGTTGACGCCATTTTCCACTGCGATTTTTCTGTAAGATTAATTTGCAAGATTGGTACATTACTCAGGTTTTAGTCGCACTTTGATTATATGCAAGATCATTCTACACTTATTACATTAATATAATTTATACATTGATTAGTTTCATATGTGTATATTTGAAATAATAGAAATATTGAACTCATACTTATTTATACTTGTGAATTTGTAATGAATATGTTTAAGTTCAATGTTACTATTGCTTTAGAGAGGTAATAATTTAAGTGATGTTAAGTAAGATCATTAATTGTTAAATGTTAATTATTAATTGTTAAGTTAGATTAATTTTAAAATATAAAATCACACGATTTCATAAAGCTATTGCAAAATAGCAGTTCTGCAATATCAAGTAGAGCTATTAATTTAAAGATGTCTGACGTTCTTAGTACAAAATAGCCGAACTTAATATCTCATATGTGACATTCAATAATATACAGGGTATTTCACAACTAGTGTAGGTCCCTGAAATGTAGCAGATGTAATTCTGAATAAGATTTCCCTTTGCAAAAATGGGGTTTGAAGCTCCGTTTTCGAATTATTAAGGAAAAACGCGGACCAATCAGAGAGCGAGGATTACGCATGCGCAGACGCGAGAACGGTAGCTTCGGATAACGCGTAGTTATCCAACGCGTAGTAATGTAACGTGTGGTAATGCAACGCGAGGTAATCCTACGCATAGTAATTCAATGCGTAGTAATCCAACGCGTACTAATACAGCGTGTGGATATCCAACGCGTAGTAATCCAACGCGTAGTAACCCAGCGTGTGAATATCCA